TCCCAGGCACAACTGTCTAGCATTTAAAAACTATCATAACATGTAAAGGCAATTGCATGAATTTAAAACTCAGAATCAAGCAAATAGGACAATCAATCAAGTTTCAGAGCCTGCAAACCTCTTCTACTTCCAATGCCAAACCTGTTCAACACAAACCTCCATCTCTTTTGTTTGCTTTGCTTTCCTTTTTAAGACAGGGTTTCTCTGTGTAGCTTTGGAGCTTACCCTGGAACTTGCTCTGTAGACCAGGCTGGCCTCGAACTCACAGAGATCTGCCTGTCTCTGCCTCACGAGCACTGGGATTAAAGTTGTGCGCCACCACCGCCCAAATCTCCATCTCCTAATGTTCATCAGAAGCACCTTTGTTTTGGACACTCAGTTTTCACTCAGACCGGCTCCATTTACTTCAAAACCTGCCTCTTTCCACCTCTGTCAACCAGAAACCCACCTATCTGACACAAGAGGGAGGATAGGGCTTCAGGTGGAACTCATTCATCATCCATCCATCCATCCATTCATTCATTCACCAAATGATGAACCATGTGCCAAGCACTGCATTTGGGGCTTAAAGATGCAACGCTAGGCTCAACAGGGAAAACCTCTTATTTTTACATTTCATGGAAGTAAACAAAAAATTCCCTTCTCAGGAACCTTTATTTTGAATCTGTTCCTATTAAAGTCAGAAGTTTAAAATATGAAATTACAAGCTGGGCGGTGGTGGCGCACGCCTTTAATCCCAGCGCTCGGGAGGCAGAGACAGGCAGATCACTGTGAGTTCGAGACCAGCCTGGTCTATCGAGTGAGTTCCAGGACAGGCTCCAAAACAATACAGAGAAACCCTGTCTCGAAAAACCAAAAACAAAAAAAAACCATGAAATTACAGAGAGCATGTATTTACAACTGTCTGCAACTTTACCTCAGAGACAATCTGCTTCCCTCTTCTACCCTTCCCTGGTCCCTGCATGTATGTATGCACATAGACTCATGCAAGCTCACACCCATACACATAAATAATAAAAACTAAATAGCCATTTAATGTGAAATTATTATTGAAATATCCAAATAGCTCAACTACTTAGGAAAGCACGAGAACAGATATATGTGAAGGGTTTGGGAAAGAAAGTTACTGCATATAATAGGTGCAAAATTTTTACAGTAAATGTCATCAAAGAATAAATGACTTCCCAAAGCCTCTACCTGGTTCTCTCTCTCCTCCCTAAGTTTCCTGTGTGTTAGAAAAGACAGTGTGATTAACTACAGCCAACAGTCTGGGCAGCGGTGATGCCTGTCACAATCTAAAGAAGGCTAGCATGCTCCATCCTGTCTTCCTCCATGGTGGCAAACCCTTGAGGTCACTTACTAACAAGATGGTGCCACAAGATGGCAGAGTTTGCATCACTCCAAATCCTTGATGGACTCCAAAACTTCTATCCCTCCCTTCCTCAGCAACTGGCACACTGCATGGATTTCTTATCTTTTGGGTGTGGGTAAGAAATAAAGATTTGCTGTGTGGAGCCTCTGATATCTAGGGGTTAATTTCAATAGCCCCTCAAGAGCTCCTGTGGCTTTAAATTATTAACAAAAGCCCTGAGGTCTCTTTAAGATCTGTTTACACTTTTTCCTGTGTAAACTGACACTTACGACAATTCCCTTTTTGTGATTTTGTTGGGAACGATGCTGATGTCTCTACACAGAGTAGCAAGCTTAGTAACAGTGGAAATGTTAGACAAGAAGAAACATTTTGGACTTGGAGACCTTTACCCTCCTTCACCCGATTTTTCACTATCTACAAAGTAGTAAAGAACTTTTTTTAAGATTTATTTATTTATTACATATACAGTGTTCTGCCTACATGCCAGAAGAGGGCACCAGATTGAATTGTAGATGGTTGTGAGTCACCATGTAGTTGCTGGGAATTGAACTCAGGACCCCTGGAAGACCAGTCAGTGCTCTCAACCTTTGAGCCATCTCTCCAGCCCAAGAACTTTTTCACAGAAAAAATAATAATAAATCTCTGTTCACTTGTAGAAATAACTTCAAAAGATTTGAGATTTCCAACTAACACCTCATCATTCTTGGAACTGGATTCTGCCCCTTAGAAAGATATTTTCATAGTTTTGAAAGGAAATATAGGAAGGAAAAATTTTGTTCGCTAGAAAAAAATAGCCACCCAAATGTTAATCTGCCCCCTAGATAACCAAAACAGCTTGTGGATTCTGTTTTTGAGTAATAGTTTCTATGTCTTCAGCTTGCCAATTCTTGCCTTATAAACCAGCTGTCCTCATTCCTGTTCATAATGTCATTTTTTGCAAAAAAAAAAAATAGGCACCTTCAAGAAAAAAAATGTGGTCATCTACTCCTTTACCACCAGCACACAATATTTTAACAAAAAGTTTCTTTTAAAATAGATCAGAAACCTTGGAACGAGACTTGGCCCCACACTTTCAGTTCTGGAAAAAGTTCCTTGGCGCCCTGAATCACTTGGCAACATAAATCAAATTAAGTAGGTCTTAGAACGTAGCACTGACAGACACAACAAAAAAGACAACGTAGGGAAAGCACAACCCTGTGTTCACAATCGCACCCTCACAAAACTCACAATATTCACTGCCCAGCAGGGACATGTCAAAATAATTAGACAGGCATTTTATGACTAAGAAGCCTGGGACGGACTCAAAATAAGCATGGGCTGGGAAACTTAGACACATGTGAGTGAGAACTGAGTATCAACTACGCACGCTTAGACTGGGAGCCAAGCCCGTGGCAGCAAGTTTCCTTCACCACTGCTCAATGACAACAAGGATGAAAGTTGTTAAAATACTTCTGCACTGGCCGAAGGACCTTTCATAAGCTTAGGATCTGCCTCAAGACCTTCTCTTGGAAACAGTTGGTTAAACAAAATCATTCAGACCTCTTTTTCATAAGCGGAGTTGCAGAGGCATTACAGCTTTTACACCCACTGCTGATACAGAAACCATCATCATTAGCAATCTAAGAACACTGTATGTACCGGGCAATGCTCTAAATACTGTGCTCTCACTAACTCATCAATACCTGTTCCAGCCTTAAGAGTCACTACCTCCCTCCCCATTAAAAAGGAAAGAAGTTGTCTGACCTCCATATACTTGTCTTGGTGTGTTCCCCTCCCCACAACAATGATAATGAAGGTTAAGTGCCAAGGCCGAGACTGAACAATTGATAATATGTCTGAGACGAGCTTCAATCCCAGCCATCAGCATCTGGAGCCTTCTCTTTGCCCTTGTACTATATTCCATTGTTCTTCAAGGTAAGCGTTTTGACAATACTTCTACAGATTAAATTATCCAGTTTGGTTGTTGATGGGAGAGCCAGTTATTATCTTCCATCAACACAAGGTTTTATATACCAAGAGATGTTAGAACCCATCTAATCCAGTTACCGATCAGTGAAGGCTTCCCTCACAACATTCCTTTCTCTGATGAGTCAGCCTCTAACTAGATGTTTTTCAAGATGGAGAGGTCTCTCACCTAAACATTTTACTAGAAAAAAAGTAATTGACTTTTGAAGATGGTTAAATTGCTCGTTTTCATCAATACCTTAGGAAACCAATTTTGTAAGCCATCAGTGAAAGTATAAATAAGAAAGGTATCATTTAAATTACTTGGTGCAGCATCCAATTTTATAATAAAGCATTCTTTTCCAAAGAAGGCAAAATCTAAATCATATTAAATGTCTCATCAAAAATGATGTGTATGGGACTAAAGGGTGGCTCAATAGTTAAGAACCCTTAGTGCTCTTGAAGAGAACCTAGGTTTGGTTCCTAGCGCCCATACTAGGCAACATACAACTTGTAACTTCAATTCCTAGGGGTCTGAGACCCTCTTCTGGTCTCCACAGTCACCCGCATGCACGTGACACCCACACAAACATTCATATACTCTTATACATATAAAATAAATGTTTTAAAATGCCTCTTATATACTCGTCAGAACAATGAGTATACACATTTGAAGACATCTGAACACCTGAGCTACACACCAAAACTGACTTTCATTTCATTGAGTTGGACATCTAGCACCATGGGCTTTAGCTACTACAGAATAAGAAGGGAATGGTGCTTTCTCTTTTAAAAAGATCATGTGTAACAATGCCTCAGAGATAGTAGCCAACTAATTGGAAATGGTAAACACTTCGTACTAGAGAGACTCATGAATATTATCACTTCCTGGCTCAGAAAAAAAAAAGAGCATGACGTGAATAGATGAACACACTCTGATCAATTGCCGCAGTTTTAGCTTTAGTCACAGAGTCACCAAACGAGGTGCGTTTGATAGGTAACTCTGAAAGTAGTTTGTCCCTCGAATTCACCTGCAAGCTTAGAATTATGGTTCGTCTTTTTAAAAAGTAACCAAACCAATAAGGACTTGTATGACACAATTGGGAGCTAATACATGTAATTTTTCTTGTCAGTTTACAAATCAAAACTCAAAGGAATAACCAAAAAACAAACAAACAAACAAAATGTTTATACCTGTAATCACAGAATCTTGGATAGGCCATTAGAGTTGAATTTTAAATATATGAATGTCTTAAGGCTGTTATGCTTTTGTATTATAATTCATTTCAACTTGATTATTAATAAACTTATAATAATAAATACCCATTTATATAATATCTAAACCCATGGTTGTTTACAACACAGAATCTTCCTATGATATCATCCTGTGGTGCTACAGTAAGCTTTTCTCAGACTGAGAGGAAAATGAAAAGAGACTAACCCATAAATAAATAAACAATTCTTTCTGTGTAAAATAACCACCACCCAGAATCCATTTTCAGAGGAAATTAAAGGTAAATGAAGTTGGTAATTTAGGAATACTATTATCTTTCCTTTTCATAATGTTAGCCTGGGGATGAACATACTTAGTTTATTCTGATTTGGCTCATAAATTAGGATAACAGAGGGGAGAGTGGGATTTTCAGGCTTTAAATGTTGCTTCAGAGAGCTGTCACTTACATACCAAAATGTTAGGAAGTGTCTCAGTCCAGGTCTGCTGCCGACGATCTATATAAGAAAAAGAAAAAAAATAATAAAGGATATCATTGAAATGTCAACTACCTGTTAGGAAATCAGAATCCTGCATATCAATCTAAGAACAGGAAACAAAAAAGTTGGCCAATATGGAATGGCCAGGGGCCTCTCCCCTAGGACTAGATGTATAGTTTCATCTCCTTAAAAGGAAGACATGAGTGCTGAACTGTGGGGAAATCACTGGTCCTTGAAAATGAATGTTCAGTGCTGTACTGAAAAGCATGTTCTAACCCTTTGCATGAATACCCAGGAATGTTTTTACTTGCTTTGAAAATGTGCACATGGAGCTAGAGAGATGACTCAGCAGTTAAGAGCACTTGCTGTCCTTTCCAAGGACCCAGGTTCAGTTCCCAACACACACACACACACACACACACACACACACACACACACACACACACACACACACACACACGGTAGCTCACAACTGTCTGTAGCTCTAATGCCTTTTTCTGGTCTCAAAGGTTACCAGGAACTACTCCAAGGATACCAGGCACACACGGTATATTTACATACCCAAAGACAAAACACTCACACACATTTTAGAAAAGAAAAGAAAAATATGTTCATGAACTTAGAACTTCCATCCATTTTCCTGGAATTTTGCCAGTGACAAAGTATTTGAAATTAGTAATAATAATCCACTCAGTGTCTAAATTACATATTTGTTTGAAATACATATTATTCTTTTTTAAAACCTGTGCAATTCAAATTCCCCTGTCTTAACAACATCCTTACCGATCCGGAGAAGTCATTGCATTTCATTTTAAATCCAGGTTTCATTCAAGGATCACTATTTTATGCGTGGTGTATCTTTAATACCTGTCGGTGGGGGGTGGTATGGATACCACAGTCAAGGATGCTCCAATGTCTTACATAGAACGAAGCATATAACACCCTCCAGTGTGCTTTAGACTCCTGGGTACTATAGCTAACGCCGTATGAATGCTTTGTAATAAGATACCACACTGTGTTGCTGGAGAAAAAAGAACAGAAAAGCAAGTTCCTCGTCCTATGCAGGTGCAATTCTTTTTCTAGTCAACACTAAAATTGCTTGAATCCTTGGGTGTAGGAAGCATGGCTGCTGCAGAATCGACTATATTACTAAGTATCTGCAGTGTCTCCAGTTTTGGTTGCTGCATCCCTCCTTGGGTTCATCTAATTGTTCCCTCACAGTTAGACTGGGGTTGAAACATTTCCAACTCATGGGTCAGGATACTTCACATTCTTTATATACATACATCTTAAAATTAAACAATAGATTGTACAAACATTTTTACTTCAGTCCAAGTTATGTTGAATAATGGCCTCCTATAAAATAAACCTAGTGTCGGTTTTTAATTAATAAAATCCTTCTGACACGGAGGAATGGGATTAATTTGTACTGCCGTTCCCCTAAGGTGGGTATTTTTTAAATGATATTTTCCTTTTGAGTGGAAGTTTATATGCATTCATATAAGCAGTAAAACTGTTTCTGGGGCCAAAATTTAAATATAGACCTGCCATGCCTACTACCCTAAAGCAAGACACCTTCTATTTTCACACAAAATAAATCAAAATCATTTTTACTCCTTTTTCTATGGTACAAACACTGTGCTCCTCAGTTCTTGCTTCGTTGTGCTAAATTACAGAGCAGCGTGACGCTTTAGCTAAACACTCTCAAACTGCTTTTTGAAATGGTTTAACTAGAAACACCACCAAAGTCAATGAGGATGATGGATCTAAGATGCCTATTAATTATATCAAACGATCAGTGATCAGCTTGTCTGCACATTCTTGTCTTTACACTGGATGCACATAAGAGCTCACATCTCCACTTGTCCCCGGGAAAGAGTGTATGTCACCTCTTCCTTCTTCCCCAAACAGCATTTCGGGATAAATACCAGGATTTTTACAAGAGTTTATTTGCATGTTAAACCAGATCAGGTTTTTTTTTTCTGCTCCTCCCTTTACTTTGGACCTTAGGATCCCTCTGTTTAGGTTAGGATTAAGGCAGGAAAAGTTTAAAAATGCATGCGTGTAACTTGAGTCAGACAGTCCAGCCAGGCAGAACACCAGCAGGTTCCCATCCTGCATGTCTAGGGTCCTGGCCACCTCCAAGCTAAACAAGGCTTCTAGGGATGCTAAAATTTAAGGTAATCCCACCCAGTCTGGGAAGGAGAGACTACGGTTGCTATCTGGGTGGGATGAGACACAGACATACTGTCTATGGCGTTCTGAGTTTGGAAAGATCTTGAAGAAAAGCAGGTGCTCTATTTCACTGATGGAAACTACTTCATCTCCAGAAAGCCTCTGCTGAAACGGCAGACAAGGATCATTTAGTCTCTCATCCATGTGCAATTTCCTTCACACTCCGGCAATTTCAATAGCTCATTTCAAAGGGAAAAGAGTAGTTCAAATGGGCTGAGAAATGAGTGTGGCATTGCTGTCCTTGTCCAGTGCCCAGTTTCATAGAGAAGCTAGGACAGGGCCCTAAAATGCATCCCAGACAGGAACTGAATTGTCTTTTCAATATTCAGAGTTCTTTGCATGTAACAGTATTTTCCTTAGATTTGGCATATGATGAACTCCATTAAAAGAAAAATTTCTTTGTTCCAGTTCTAAGAATAACATCCTAGCTCTTCATTTGAATTGGGTTGTAAGCCGAATGCAGGAAAGGAAGCTGCAGTAGGGACTATGTCTCGAATACACAAGTTGCTTCAAAAGCGATGAATGGGAGATGTTTCAAATGTTGAAGCCCTTACTAGAATACACATCATTCTTCTTTCCTGTCCAGCACACAGAATACTCATATTATCTTCAAATAATAAGGGTGGCTGCCTGCAGTGTAATTTAATCGCTGTGATTTACTGAGAAATGAAGACTGACGTCTCTTGAAAGTTAGTCCAATTTTATCTTTTAACATTAGTTTAAAACTGTTAAAACTACTACTTTCAATAATATATCAACCTCCTTGGGGGTTCTTAGTTATTCTTATAACTTTCCTAAATCAAAAAAATTATATTAGTGCCCAAATTTTTTGTTCAAAAAAATTCAACTTTAAGATACAATTCCCTTTAAAACTTTGCTTAGGTTTAAACCCCTTCATGTTTCATTTAACCTTTTCCAAGTGAATCTTAAAAATCAACTTTTCCTTACAAAATGGGAACAAATCCATTTTATTATCTCATGTAAAATCAAATTGAAATTAAGTAGAAAATAAATAGGAAAAACCTTGGGGTGGGGAAACGGTTTCAGTCCATAAAGTATATGCTTTGCAAGCAAGCATGAGGCTGAGAATTCAATGCCTAAAATCCACAGTAGGGGAAAAGACCAGGTTTAGTGATGTGCGCTTGTAATTCCAGATCCAGGAGGCAGAATCTGGTAGATCTCTGACCTTCTAGTCTAGACTACTTATGAATTCCAGGACAGTTAGATACCCTGTCTCAAAAAACAAGGTGGATGGAGTACAGAACTAAATAGAGAATTCTCAATAAAGGAGTCTAAAATGGCTGAGAGACTCTTAAGAAAGTGCTCAACATACTAAGCCATCAGGGAAATGCAAACCAAAATAACTCTGAGATACCATCTTGCACCTATCAGAATGGCTAAAGTCAAAAACACCAATGACAGTTTATGCTGGAGAGGATGTGGAGAAAGGGGAATACTCCTCCACTGCTAGTGGGAGTGACAACTCATATAGCCACTTTGGAGATCAGTATGGAGATTCCTCAGGAAAATGAGAATTCGTCTACCACAAGATCCAGCAATTCCACTCTTAGGCATATACCCAAAAGATGCACATTCATACAACAAGGACATCTGTTCCACTATGTTCATAGCAGCATTATTTGTAATAGCCAGAATCTGGAAGCAACCAAGATGCCCCTCAACTGAAGAATGGATAAAGAAACTGTGGTACATTTACACAATGGAGTACTACTCATCGGAAAAAACAATGGAATCTTGAAATTTGCAGGCAAATGGATGGAACTAGAAGAAACCATATCCTGAGTGGGGTAACACAGTCTCAAAAAGACAAACATGGTATGTACTCACTCATATATGGATATTAGATACAGAGCAAATATCCTACAATCCACCTCCAGAGAAGCTAGGAAACAAGGAGGACCTTAAGAGAGACATACAGGACAAGATCTCCTGAGAAAAATTGGGAGCACAGGGGGAGGGGAGAGGAAGTTAGGAGATAGAGAAGGGGTAAAGAGGAGAGGGAGGAGGACATGAGGGACCAGGAAGATTGAGTTGAGAGAAGAATAGAGGAGAACAAGAAAAAAGATACCATAATAGAGGGAGCCATTATAGGTTTAGAGAGAAATCTGACACTAGGGAAATGTCCATAGATCTACAAGGATGACCCCAACTAACAATTTAAGCAATAGTGGAGAGGGTACCTTAAATGTCCTTCCCCTATAATGAGATTGATGACTACATTATATGCCATCCTATAGCCTTCATCCTGTAGCTGATGGGAGCAGAAGAAGAGACCCACAGCTAAGAATTGAGCCAAACTCCTGGAATCCAGTTGTAGAGAGGGAGAAGTAATGAGCAAAGGGGTCAAGACCAGGCTTAGGAAACCCATTGAAACAACTGATCTGAACAAGGGGGAGCTCATAGTCCCGAGACTAACAGCTGTGAAACCAGCATAGGACTGAATCAGGCCCCCTGAATGTGGGTGTCGGTTAGGAGGCCTGGGCAGTCTATGGGGCCTCTTGTAGTGGAACAGTATTTATCCTTAGTGTATGAATGGACTTTGGGAGCCCTTTCCCCATAGAGGGATACTCTCTCAGCCTAGACACACGGGGGAGGGCCTAGGCCCTGCCCCAAATGATATGACAGATTTTGATGATACCCCATGGAAAGCCTCACCCTCCCTGGGGATGGTATGGAGACTGATGGGAGGCATGGGCAGATGGGAAGGAGAGGGAACTGGGATTGAAATGTAAAATAAGTTTCTAATTTAAATTTAAAAATCT